CCCAAGTAATCAAAATCAGTGACCGATTAATGCCTGAAAACGCAGTGTTCCCGTTATTACAAACAACTAATTTATGATTAAAAGTGGATCTTGAGACGTCTGGTTATGATCATAGTGTGATTCAGTTTGAACGATACAGGTACTTCACATCTCGTTATCACAATCATTCACATTGCCATTGCAGAATATTTGAAAGTATTTTCCTGAATAAGCATCCGTTATGCTGAGCTCTGTCTTAAACCTTTTTTTCCTAGTACCTAACTCGCCACTGTTTTGTAGTTGACCTAGTGAACATCCTTAAACAAGCGAAGCAGGAGAGATGAAGGATTCCAACATTTGCTGTGTGGATATCTGTTGATCAGGGATTGATATAAGAAGGCTATACGAAAACAGATTTTGATATTCTCCCAACAGAGGCAGCTGGATGCGAAATAATAATCTAAGAAAACATGGCATTAAATCCCTGCGCTGTTATTTCTACTTCCTTCTGCCTTTAATGCCAACCCCCTGACCCACCAGCCCAAATACTTCACGATAATTGACCCTGACTTTATTGAAGATCTGAAATGAATGTTGAAACGTTTGTAAACCTCGATATAGAGCAAAACCTGCCAAATATTCATTACACTATAATACATATTGCTACTTTTAAATGAAAGCCCTGCAGACGCCTTCCAGCTTTATTTCTGTCAATAAAAACTAAAAGATGTAAACAAACGCAACTGTGGAAATACATATTGCATAAATACAATATATATAAAGTCTCATACGAGCAGGTTCTCACAACATGGATGATTCCCAATATAATCATACATTTATAAACTTATCCCAAAATATAGCGTGTTTATTTCTCAATCAACGTGTACGCCTTTTCTGCTGCCAGCAACCATCTTGACCACTTTTAGGTTATGTAACAAAGGTTTACTGATAGATTCTCCAGTCTGGGAGCAAGCCAGTTTGCGCCTACCATTTATATAAGAATAATTCTCTGCAACCTCACGGCAGTATGACTTGGCTCTCAATGCACAAGCGAATTGGCATGAAAACCCCTGGCAACTGAGTACCTTAAGTGCCAATGGTTCACGGTTGTTTTGTGTGACTCAAGAAAGGCACTCCAGGCGCTGAACATTTCTGGATGAAGCGTAAATAATGTTGTTAATGATATTTTCAATAAATGCCAATCGCTCCATTGAACGGAATTTCACCTGCAACTTTGTGTGAGTATTTCCCCGTCATACTTAAACATTATCATATTAATGTGATTGTCATAGTCATCATCATCATTGCAATTACTAATGCTAATTCCTCCGTTGTTGTTTCTAGTATATATTATTTTCATCATTAGTGCCTTTATATGTGTACTCTTAGTATTATCACCGTGTTACTACTCATTACGATTCGATTGATTATATTATGATTATCATTACTATTATCGTTATCCTCATTAGATTACTAAGACCGCTGTCATCATAAGCCCACTATTCGTCAGTGCCCAAATTATCGTTATATTCATCATAATAATTATCTTCGTCTTTATCATTTTCATTAATTAAATCATTTATATCAAAGCCATCATAATTGTCATCATCGCTGTTAACGTTATAACACCACTTTGGTTATCACCATCAATGTAATTATTGTTGTAATGAAAATAATCATAAACAGTTCTGTAATGAAAAATGTCTCATCACCATCGCCTTCACCATCATCACCATCGCAAGCACCATCGCTCACTCATATTCGCCGCTGGACTCAACTCCTACTTTGTGACACCAGCTATGTAGGTGCGCACTGCATGGATTAAAACAATACTATAGTACGCCGCTAATTCACCTATGTGAAAATTATCAATAGTGATAAAAGAATAAATCGATTAACAATTGTAGTATGCTGAAAAATAATTATGTGCTTATGCTTTGGAATTCAGAATGTTGCATCACTTAACTGCATAGCATATTGAGCAATCGCTTCAAGGTTTGATCTTTAACACCTCAGCAGACGGCCCAGTGGCAGCCATGAGAGGACGGTTATAAATCGCGCTGTGCATGATCTGTTATCAACATGTGAGTCCGTTGGCCAAAACATGCATTGAGTAAAACGTTTTGGCATTGAAACTCGCGGCATGTCTTATTTTGATTTGATAAGAAGCGTTATCATAGAGAACGCTTGCTATGATACCTCCCTTACGTTATGTTTTTGGTAGCGTTGGTTATTTTTTGTTCGTTGGTTGACAGAACTCAAAAGGTTATCAATAGATCTTTATGAAATTCTTACCAGTGGCGTGGTTTAGCCTGCTTAGATGCCATTAAATGCTGGTGGTGATCCGGGCCCAGGCATTTTTGGATGGTCATGAGTTACCCCGACTACAAATGCAACTCACAGAGGTGTGTCTAAGCCTAACTTAGATGCCATTAAATTTTAGTGATGATCCGGATCCAGAATTTATTTTAATGATTGCATCACTTAAGGAAGGGGTCGGGGTAAGGAGGGGAAGGGGAAA